CATTCACCTTTAAAGGTGCATTGTGCAATATTTAGGAGGATCTGTTGACAGAAATGCAACATCATATACATAGCTATGTTTTCAGTGGTGTATAAAGACCTTACATAATGAACCGTTCTGTTTTTATTACCTTAGAACGAGCCATTTCTATCTAAATACACCGCGGGCCCCTTTACATTGTTTCTACAGTAGCCCTAAACGGACAAACGCATTTCGGCACTATGTTGTTCTTCGTGCAAAGAAGCTATGAGACAATGATGAACAAGTAACAATAATATTCGCAATAACATATCGTTTTACTGAATAATCAAGTAAACCTAATTTCTTAATTTATCTTTGTAAAGAAACCTCATTGCTTCTCTGCTGTCTCGGACGACGACATATTTTCCTGTCGGCCACCGTAACTTCTGTTAATTATTATTAAAAGATTATTTAAATAACTCCACAAGTCCGGAGCAAATAGTGACAGATTGAAAATCTAATTCAAATAACTTTGTTAATGACCTTTCTATTCATCAAAGAATCCTAGAAAAAAATTTATCACGGTTTCCTCAAAAATATTAGGCAGCACTGTTTTCAACAGTGATACGTTTTTTTTCTTGAGCAACAAATAAGCATATTAGAATGATTTTTGAAGGATCACGTGACACTGAAGACTGGAGAAAATTGCGCTTTGCCATCACAGAAATAATTATTTTATTTCACAATATAACTCTTTTACTGTATTTATGAACTTTTATTCAGCCTTGGTGTGCAAAAGAGACTCCTTTCCAAAAAAAAAAAATCTTACCGATCTTATGTTCTAAACACAGGCCTGACAAAATTACTGTTCTTTTCTATCTCTCTCTCACACACACATATTCTCTCAGGGTGCCGGTGTGATGTCAGTGTATCTCTTCATGAAGCGTTATGCAGAAGAGGAGATGTATCGGCCTCACCCGGCTCTCTATCGCCCCCGCCTTTCCGAGGGCAGTGACTACAGTGGCCAGTACCTGCACCCAGAGACCTGGCCTCCACCCCAGCGCGCACGGAGTGCCTCTGAGATCTCCAGCGACATCTCCATCCAGCTCACACAGAACCCCCAGGCCCAGCTGAAGGCCAGCGGCCAGCAGAGCACGTCATCTCCGGGAATCACCTCCGCTTCCAGCCCTACCTCTGGAGCAGGTTACCAGCTGTCATCGTCAGGTTCTGCAGCGCCGTTCCCCCACAGCCATCCCCTCCACCCTGGAGCACACGGGGCAGCTGCGGCGTCCCAGACCCTGCCCATGTCCTCATCACCCCCACACTATCACACACATATGCGCATGAGCGCCTCTCCATGCTAAAGTTTATAGAGTATTTGTTTTTAATTGAGATAATGCATAAACGAGAAACAGAAAATATGATGCAAGGCAAGATTTAGTTTTTTATATGAGAAGAGGAAGTAAAAAAAACTGTTTGTAACTAAAGGCCTCTTTTTAAGACTGAATGTCGTCGTTGTGAAATTGTAGCATATTAAACTGCACTGGATCGAACGGGGTTCACGCAGAACACTTGACAATCGCACACACCACCAGAACTGACAATTCATTTACTTAGGCATACACATTAGCGCACATAAGAGACCTGTAACTATTGCCTTTAATTTTGCAGATGATATAAAACTGAACTTAAATTGTTATTTCTCATCATAGAAGCTTTGAATTGTTCGCTTTATTGTTAAAATTATCATCAAATGCTAAAGTTGGAATTACTTATAAACAAAAATGCTTAACATATTGTTTGGATTTGAAATAAGAGTGATTCATAAGCCTCAATTCAGATGTATTGAGTATTTCTTGCGTAAATATTGTGTACTGTTGTGTTTTGGCTGTGATTTGGTTCACTGCCTTTCTGCAGAATGTTGACAAATTTGGTGGGGAAAAACGAAATTAAACTGCTTTAAACGTTCTTATTTTACAAGACTCTTTTCCTGATTCATCACATTATGTAGGTCCACAAAACGCTCATAGCGCCCTCTAGTGGTTAAGAGATTGTTTTGAAACTGCGGCGTTATGAGAAGCGCTGTCCGTGGTGCTGAAACCATCCAAGGCTGCTCGTCAACGCAGACCATGCAGCAAAATACAGTCTTTTGAACACGGTCAAATGTACCACAAGGTTTTGTTTCTAAATGAATGTGCAGTAGAATGTGCAGCAAAATATGGGTGTTAACCAGATTTAAACTGTTAGAATATGAAACAATTAGTTTCTTACAAACCCCCACTATGATTATTATTATTATCATTATTAGTATGTTTTTATTTTGTTTGTTTGTGTGTTGAGAAGGGTGTAAATTTAAGCGTTACAATATGCATTGATCTTGCGCCACAAGCGGCAACAAACAGAATTACAGATAAAAATGTGTGTATATTTGCGTGTATTTTCCGCACTGGGACTGTTAAGTGCTTCTCTGCGGTTCATCGTTCCATTGCCTCAGGGAAGCGTGCAGACCAATTGATCAAAACTCTCTCTCTCTCTCTCTCTCTCTCTCTCTCTCTCTCTCTCTCTCTCTCTCTCTCTCTCTCTCTCTCTCTCTCTCTCTCTCTCTCTCTCTCTCTCTCTCTCTATGTATATATATATATATATATATATATATATTTCTATCTCTGCACGTTTGTGTTTGAGTAGGATGTCATATCAGTCGCATTTCAGTAATTTCTTTCGCCAAGGTGTTGCACTTGTGTGTGTGTGTGCACGTATCCTGCTTGATCTCAACGCAACAGCTAATAGTGAGTGTGTGTGTGTGTGTGCGTTGTTAGTGTGTGCTTATATGAGGGGGTGGGGGAGACTGCCCGTGTGTGTCAGTCAAGAGTTGTATATTGCTCTCTTTTCACCAACATTACTGCATGAAAGAGCTGTCACCCAGCATTAGCCATTCCCTGCTCCATGTGTGTGAGAGGTGGAGAGAGAAAATGAACATGAATATCTGTCGAGAAAACCTTTGAAGGTCGTAGTTCACTGTACTACTATGCAGATGTCTGAGTTTGGTCATTTGACAGCCTGCTTAATGAGGAATATATCTTGGCAACGCCAAGCGCTCACACGAGACTAGACCAATGGCAGGCTCTCAAAAAACCCTCCCTTGGTCCAAAATTGGGACTAGTCTTTTCGCATGATTAGCCATCATGCTTTCACTCTATACTCGACCTCAGATTATTTTCTCCACATCCGGGAGTGTTGCTGCGTACACACACACACACACACACACACACACACACACACACACTGAGTGTTTATTGATCTTTTAAACGACAGAAAGCATAAGAAATAGACTCTCACCCGCTCAAAGCCAATTTTGAGGCATCTGTCGCATTCAACCTGCCATTTTCACTTCCCTCCCTCCATACACCCCCTCTCTCTCTCTCTCTCTCTCTCTCTCTCTCTCTCTCTCTCTCTCTCTCTCTCTCTCTCTCTCTCTCTCTCTCTCTCTCTCTCTCTCTCCCTCTGCGGAACTCAGTGCTCTTTCTCAGGCTGGATAACATTGCATTCATTAGCAGTGCGGTATACTAACATCATCTCCAAGATGCCTTATTCTCTTATCTCCTGCAAAGGCAAAAACACAATATGTTGAGCATGTTGCTTGTGTTTCTATTATGGTGGGGACTTTACGTCGACTTCTTTTGCTAATGATATTTTCTATCCCCTAAACCTCACACAAACCTTGTCGCATTTTAACATTTTCACTGAAACATTACTCTGAATGTTTATATATTTTCCCGCTATGACTGAATTTGCAAACATATTCAGAATGATGTCAGCAAATTGCCATAGCTACTACGATTATGTAAATATCATGTAAATGCATTATTACTACATTATTATTGTCATAAACGGATTTGGCTAAGCCAATATTCTGATTTCTAAAAACTTGAGTAAACAGATGGCATATGCCTTATTTAATCAGAATGTTATAGCTGTGCATGTCCAAACAAATGTGATATTAGATATAGACAGTTGGCAGGTAAGTCAGGTAAGATTTATTTATTTTATAAAGGAAAGATATATTTATTTGTTTGTTTATTTATTTATTACAAACTTTTTTTAAAAAGTGATCAAGAAATCAATATACAGACACATAAAAGCATTTCTTAACCTACATTTTGCAGTTCATTGGGTTCTTGTTTGCTTTAGTCAAGGAAAATATATTGATTAAATCATTGTGCAAAATACAAATAAATAAATAAATGGCAAGAGAAAGAGAAAATATAATTTTTTAGTGAAAAATGCTGATTCCAAAGGAATATCCCAACTGATGTGAAGCATGTAAAATTACGTGCATGTGGATGCGATTTCACATTGTAGCTAGTGTTCTTGTGGGGACATTTGGTCCCCAAAATGCAGGTAAATCCTGACACACACATACACACACATGTTGGCATTCCATGTTTTATGGAGAGGTTTCCATTCATGTTTCCATTCCACAGGCGTAATGGTTTTTGTACTGTAAAAACGTTATAGCATATCCACCTACACTAACCCTACCCCTAATCAATCACAGAAAAGATTTAGCTAGCCTATTTTTGTTATTTTGAAAACATCATTTCGTATGATTTATAAGCTGTTTTCCTCATGGGGATCAAAAAATGTCCCCAAGGTCAACATTTTCTGGTATTACTATACTTGGAAACATTTGGTCCCCATAACGAAAACCAGGACCACACTCACACTTAGGCTTGAGTGCCCACATTGTGAATCATCTGTCCCAGGAGATGGTGTTTATGAGTCGGTATTATTTGAAATTCAATTTCAAAAGCACAATGGCGCGAATATTTCGTATGGTCTGCCAGGATTTGGTATGCGACAAGTTGCTTACGTCTCTCTCTCTCTCTCTCTCTCTCTCTCTCTCTCTCTCTCTCTCTCTCTCTCTCTCTCTCTCTCTCTCTCTCTCTCTCTCTCTCTCTCTCTCTCTCTCTCTCACACACACACACACACACACACACTCAGGGGGTAAGGAAAGGGACGGATAGAACGAGTAAAGGGTTGCGGCGCGGGCGGGGGAGACGCAGTCGCGCACACGCATTGGCTACACGCGCTCTAGACAAAACCGTGTTCGAGTGACGTGGGAACGTGTGCGCGTTGAATATCTCTCCTATATACTATCTGTCTTGAGAGAGATTCACATTTGTAACTTGTTTTTTATTATTATTACTTGACGACATTTTAAAAGCGTCAGTCCCCGAGACGAGCAAACCCCGCCATTCTTTTCTTTGCTTGCTAACTCGTTTACAGTCCATTTCTCTTGATATGCAATTATCTGTCCTCGTCTTCCTCTTTGGGAGCGCGACGGTCTTCAAACCGGAGACAAACTAAACTGGTAAGCAATAATCTCAGATTTTCTGTAGTCTGCGTGTGTGCTCGCGATTTTTGGGGGGCTGTTTGGATGTTTCCGTTTGCATGTGTGTCCATGTGGAATGTAAAGAGCGGTCAATCGATGCCAAAATGCAAGCTTGCGAAGCTCAGCTGTCGATTTTCTCAAAGCTTTTCGCCTGCGTTTGGTTGTATCTGCAAATGTGTGTTAAATCAAACCGACCGGGGAAAAATGTGATAGCTAAATGATGAAATCGTCTTCATAGTGGATCTGCAAGCGCATCCTCGCATTCATTATGCATGTGCAGCATAAACTCCTCTTATCTGGAGCTCGATGAAACAAACACACTGATATCACTGATATACTTCTAGAACAAGTCTGTTGTGGCCCATTTGACACATCCTGTCCTTTTAGCTTTTTCAAGCGAGAATGAAGGGCTTTTTATAGAGAAAGGCGTCCATTTTCGGTGTCGGTGTCGGGCTCCTCTAATGAATGCACTGCGGCTCGCATCAGCGCCCAGCCTCCCCCTGTCAACTCCCACACTTCACCCTGACCATTTATCTGATCTCACTGATCACGAGCGTGGACCTTTTCACAGCCCTGCTCGTGCATGTTTGATCCATGCGTTTCAATCACATCATGTGACCTTAGGAACATGGCTTTTGCTGTCAAGAGGCCTCTATTTCAGCATCAGGCGATTTTCAAAGGAAAAAAGATGCACTGGTCACACTGATAGATGATAGAGGCCTACATAAAGGCTTCTGGATGTTACAATGCAGTAAAACCCTGTTAATTGGTTAAATGTAAGTATTGTGCCCATTTTAAGACAATACATAATTCTACTGGCAAATGTCGTTAACCAAATTGAAGGAAAAATACATTTTTAGTAAAGTTTCTTTTTTAGTTATCAGGTGATTTATGTTTAAATTGATTAGTTTAGTTTATGTACACTGTCCCTCTGTTACATTGCACTGTAAAAAGCAACTACTAATAGCTGAAACAGCTTGGTGCATTATTATAAATGAATTATATACACGTACAGTAGCTGAACTTCACAAGTTTAAAGTATACTGTCACTAATAATGCCATCCCATAATGCCTTTAACAGTGTCAGTGCTTATCTGCACTTTGATTTCACCTGCCCAGTTTACAAGTAGTAATATGTCTCCCATTCAGTGTCATATTGCACGATATTCTGTAATAAAATGAATGAATCAGATAGCAGTTAAAAATCACACAGCACAAGCTAGTGATGGCAGTGTCTGGCTTTGGCACAGAAACCTTAATCAGCATAGTTGTGTGCTCGCAGGAAGCCTAAGATGTTCTTCCACCGTTTACATGGCCTATGACCACACAGAAATGCTTTAATGAAAGAAAGCACCTGGTCAGGGCTCAGGTTGTATCGCTCTCCGTTGGAGGATTCTGTTTAAGCAGATTGCGCCTCCTGGGATCATAATTATGTAATACTCTGAAGAGTCCTGTGTCAGCATTGCTGTACCAACACCATTTTCCCACGATCTATACAGGAACTGAGAGCATTTCAGAATACAACAAAGGAAAAGAAACCCCAGCGGACGGCCTTTTTGCTATTATTAAAGAGCGGACCCCTGACTGAGATTATCTCCTTTATTCTCCGTATAATTTAAAGAAGTGAACTGTAAAAATAAGGAGTCCTGCAGATGTAAATGACAGATTTTATATTTGCAAGTGGAAGTCTCTGCATGGTTTTGAAACTGATAAATGGTGAAATATGATCGAGACATGGATTGGTTTAGCAATCGGCTTCTCTTTTCTATGCCATCCCATGAAGTGCACATTGTGTTAGTCGTGACACTTTCCCAGGCACACTTGTTCTTTCCCACTAGACCAATACAGCTTTTAAAACAGCCATACTGCAGCAGAAAAACAAAGTGGAGTGAACTGACCCCTCATACCCCCGATCAATGCTGTCTATAGCAAAGCTATATCCTCGCAACAACACCGGCAAGAGTTTTTCTCACAAACTACATCAGTGATGAGGTTTACACTGTTAAAACAGATTTAGAAGTATAAGCTATTGTTCGTATATTGACTGTTTATGGTCAGTGCAGTTAAGGTCCTGTTCATGGTTGTATTAGTGTGGCTTTTTAACAGACAGTGACATCAGATGATTCAGGCAACATCTGTTTGCGGTGTGCTTACTTTTACCCTAGTGCAATGATGCAATGGTACTCATTTTAAACCATTTTTGGCAGAGATGACTGATGTCTTTTTCAAGCAGTTGATGCCAATAGTGATATTTAATAAATTATGTTTCATTAAGAAAGTTCGGGAGGAACACGTTCAAATGATCTATCCAATCAACACGTCCTTCCAATCAGCAATTAACACGTCTATCCAATCAGCATGAGAGGAGGCCAAATATACACAGTCCTCGACAGTTTTCAGCATCCCTCTTGGCTGGTTCCTACCACAGCCAGGAATACAGGGGGAGCACTCTGGGTTCAGGCCAAAATACAGAGCTCAAAGCCCTGTTTTCGGACAGCACGCCAAATACACATACTCTTTACTCAATCTGATTATGTTTAAGTGTGAATTCATGAAAGAAACATTTTTGAGAGTTTTTGAAGCATTTTAGATTTAAATCCTACAGAAATCTGCCATCAGCATGCAATCAGTTGAATCTAGCAGATCAAATAATATAATATAATTAATATTATATTAATATTAATATATATTAAATTGATAAAAATTGACTGTAAAGACATTTGAACATTGTTCCAAAAAAGTCAAATAAATGCTTACTTTGTATTCATCAAAGAATCATCATCCTGTTTTCCACAAACATTTTAAGCAGCACAACGTTTTTAATATTGATAATAATAAGAAATGTTTCTTGAGCTGTAAATCAGCATATCAGAATGATTTCTGAAGGATCATGTGACACTGAAGACTGGAGTAATGATGCTGAAAATTCAGCTTTACCATCACAGGAATAAATGACATTTAAAATATAATAATATAGAAAACATTTGTTTAAAATTGTAATAATACTGTACTTTTGATCAAATAAATGCAGACTTCTAATTTAGTGTGGAATCAAACTGAACAGATACACTCTCGTTGCCTCATACACACCCATTGAGGCTTTTGGATTGTCCTTAGAGCTGTGATAATTAACTCTCCCTTTCGTCGGTCCCAACTGGGACTGAAACTTTCATGGAATGAGAATCCTTAAATACCTTAAATACAGACGTGACAGAGTGCAAGAGACAGACTGTGATCATTTGTTTCCTTCATTAAACAGAACCTATAGCAAGCTGTAAGCAAGAGAAAATGATTCATTCAGTCGGTTCATGCATTCTTTGTCTGGATCTCAAAAGGAATTAAGAAACAAGGTAATGCCGCTTGTTTGTTAATTGCTTGTGGGAGGAGATACGGACATCCAGGTTAAGCAAACTAAATGAAAATCCTCTCTCGCTCTCTTTTCCTTCGAGCTTCCTTTACAGATACTGCTGCATAACTGGAACTATATGATTGTTCATCGTTCATTGAGCAACTGCCTCCTCCTGGCAAGTGATCTTTATTTCTGAAGTTTATCTGAAAAGAAATTTACTGAAATAAAAGAAACACTGATTTATTTATGTATTAGAAGGAATATACCTGAGCAGTACTGTACTGCCGTGTCTGCAACTGTACAATTCATACAAACACCTATCAGATGCCCTTAAAATGATGTGAGTGCAGGCCAGGGGAGATATATTGTATGGTAAGGAATTAAGCCTAGATGTGCTTGGTTGTGTTGTCGGAATGCGATGTGAGATGTGAACTTAATTAATCAAACTGTTTAATTTGGTTTTAAGTTCTCTCATATTTAATGACAGCAACATTTTGGTGAAATTCAGTTTTAGTCACATGTGGTGATATTACATACATATACACTCAAATGTTTGGGTTTGGCAAGATTTTTTATGTTTTTGAAAGAAGTTCTCACCAATGCTGCATTTATTTGATCAATATTACAGTAAGACTTTTGTTATTGCAATTTACAATAATTGCTTTCTATTTTAGTACATTTTAAAATGTAATCTATTCCTGTGATGGCAAAGTTGAATTTTCAGCATCATTACTCCAGTTTTCAGTGTCACATGATCCTTCAGAAACCATTCTTATATACTGATTTGCTGATCAAGAAATGTTTTTTTTTTTTTATGTTGCTGTTTAATATTTTTGTGTGGAAACTATGATTCTTTGATGAATAAAACGTTTGAATAAAAAGTTGAAATCTTTGTAGCAATCTTTTGAAACATTGAAAACTGTTACCGTCACTTTTGATCAATTTTAATGCATCCTCGCTGAAGACTAATTACTATGGCTCTAAACTTTTGAACAGTAGTATATATGGTCACATTTATACTGGTTTGTGGAGCCAGTTTTGGAATAGTGCAGATGTATTTTTGAATGAATCTATTGGATCAACTGAATCATTTTTTCAAGTTTGATACTGTGATTCATTTAAAGCTGCTGTCCGTAACTTTTTTAAGTTAAAAATAATCCAAAATAATTATATTAAAAAAAACATATTCTGCCAGTGGTCAAAACTATCTGCTTGCCATAGCTAGATTCAAAACGGTTAGCTTGTAATAATGATTTTAATTCCAGTGGTACTGGTGGGTTTCCGCGGGAAATTCGAGCATGTCTTTGCGTCATTACGTCACACCCGTACACATAAAGAAGGAGTTTCAGCTAGCCGGCTATACTGCGCGTGACGAGATGTTTAGATGTATAGGCTTTTCTCGCAGCACTTTACATAATTAAACTTATGGCATCCAGAAAGATCCAAACAACAATCATCAGTGTCAACTGGAGATTCAGCAGTTATAAAACCCAAAAGACTTCGTACTTCGGATTTAAGGTGGCTAGAGAAAGAGAAAGAAACCATCTCATGCGAACCGAAGGATTTAAACATCGGCGGGGCTTTTGAAAAGTGCGTGAACTCCGTGTTTTGAAGGGGTTCAAAACGGAAG